TATATGTTTACATGTGGGTCTGTATCAATGTCCATGTGTGTCTAATTATTTGCATGCTAAATTTTGAATTAAAACAATTAATAAAAAAAACCTAAAATCAATGTCTAGAAGAAAAGAAATGTTTTGAGGTTGGGGAGTGGTTGTTTTGTGCCTAGAGACAACAAGGTAAAAGTGTAGGTGGTAGGCGAGTCTCTTGATGTCTTTATGATCTGATCATGTCATCTTGCTCATTTTTAGAGCCTTATCTCATGAGAAAAGAAAACTAAAACAGAGCCAGAGAGTAGCGTCTCTCTCTGTGCCTCTCACAATGTTGGCAAAGCACTTCCCTTCTCTTTCCAAGGGAGATGGTCGTAAAAGCATGCCTTTTGTCGTGCTGGAAAAATCCATTTGGAAAAAGGCACACTTTTATGACCATCTCCCTTAGGAAAGAGAATGGAAGTGCAACAACAGCATGCGGAGAAGCACAGAAAAAGTCGCTACTCTCCGGCTCCGTTTCAGCTTTCCTTTCTCATGCTATAAGGCAAGTAGTGAGGTCAAATCATCTTGAGTCAGTCCTAATGTCTGCTTCCCTGGTTCGTTTTGCAGAAGCGACAGATTTTGGTTACCGTCATCGAGATCTGCCTGCCTCTTTTGTTTGCTGCGATCCTCATTGCCCTTCGCCACCGTGTGCATTCAGTCAGCTACCCCAATGCAACCGTTTACCAAACGAAGAAGTTGGATACATTGCCTGATTTCTTCCGTCACTGGCATCCCAGGCCCTGGGAGCTGGCCTACGTCCCTTCTAACAACACAGCTGTGGAGAGCATCGCAGAAGCAGTGGAGGAGGCCCTGCGGATTGCACGGGTTGATATCAAAGGTCAGCAACTCAGCAGAGTTGTTTGTGCGCAAACATTTCCTTCGGTTTACCGAAGCAATCTCCAGCAGCCACGTGATGCTCTGCTCTAGTAAAACCCAAACTGGGTGGATCCCAAATGGTACATGAAAGCAGCCTTATATCTTGTGACTGACATACATGATGCAAGCAAGGTGTTTATGAAATTTGCTGCCACGATATTTGGCAATAGCCACAAGCACAGCTAGTTTTAAATGGGGATTCAATCAAATAATGGAGGATTGGTCAAAGCTCAGAAAGTTAGTGCTTTTGGAATGCAGGTACCAGAATTCCCCAGCTAGTGTGGATTCTGGGAACTGTAGTCCAAAATGTAATTTTTACATACTCTGGGATATACCTGTCAATGCCTATTAGCTCTGGTAGGTATCTGGAGTCTTCATCTTCAGAGGCAGTCTGTCTCAGCATGTTAGTAGCTAGTAGCCTTTATGCCCTATTTGTGGGCTACGTTTCAAGTACAGTACAAAATCTTGGACTAGGTGCCCCCTTTTTAGGCTTTGATCCAACAGGGGTTGTGTTCATCCGTTCTCTGTCTGGATGAGAGACTGTTTAGATCTGAACAAAAGACCTCTGATGCTCCTGTTTCTCATTTTCCTTGCAGCTCGAGGCTTCCTAACTGAGAAAGATTTTGAAGAATATATCAGATTTGATAACCATTCAGGCAATGTGTTGGCTGGAATTGTTTTTGAGAACTGCTCCGCTCACAGCCAGGAACCCTTGCCGCTGCAGGTAAGTGTCCTCCAATTGTTCCCTCCAACTTCTCAAGCTGATACATGGCAATCCTCCCATCGATGGAGATGTATGGTGCATGTGTACATATGCTTTTGGAAGAGCCATCTTGCCCAATTTGTCCTGGCAGTTGGTTGCAACCAGGCATGCACAGGTTAATCAGAATTTTTTTCTCTGCATAGTGATTTGCAACCTCATTCAGGTGCATATGCATCTATATCTATATATAGGAATGCTGTTTCTCATCTATCCATGCATGCATGTGCATGTGCCCACACTTACTAGCAATAGTTTCACCTGAAACTTGCAAGATTGACTGCAAGGATAGAGCAGCAGCTGGTGGGAAGGCATGACTTCTTCCTCTGTTGTTTTATTTTAGTTTGCTTATATCCTCTAACCTGATAATAGTCATCAAGGCTGATCACAACATAGATCAAGATAAAATATAGCTTTAAACCCATCCTAATAGTTAAATACAGTTGAAAAACCATTAACAAACTATTTTGTTAAAACCGAACAAATTTTAAACAAGTAAAAGCATTTAAAATATAATGATGTGGATAAAAGTGATAGCACATGCTCCCATTTAAATCACCTTCTGAAGCGATCAACAAATAATTAAAGCCATGTCAAAATTAAAAGGGTCTTTGCCTGCCAGTAAAAGGAAAGCAGAGAGGGGTCCAGTCAAGCTTCTTGTGGGATGGAGTTCCACATCCTGAGAATAGTCACTGAGAAGGCCCTTTCATTCGTCCTCCCAAAACTATGATGGCGGTGGGGAGGAAGGAAAGCTTCACACAGGCTGATATAGTGTGATACAGTTTTTCAAATAGACTGGACCAAAGTCATATGCAATTATGTAGGTCATAAAAAAGCAGTTTGAATTGTGCCCACCAATGGCACAGTAGTTTTCCAAACTGTTATGAGCCAAATTCTTAGGATGTCCTGAAGGAGCAGGTAGAAAGAATAAGAATTAGTGTGTTGACGCGGTTACAGTATTGGGTCGGGATTTGGGAGATCCAGGTTCAAGTCTCCACTAAAATGTGCAACTCAGTCAGTCATTCTATCTCAGCCTGAGATACTTCACAGAGTTGGCATGAGGACAGCCCCAAACCCCTTGTGTTCACTGGAGAGATGTAGCTAACCAATAAAGCAGTGTGTAGTTTGATCTGGACCTTGGGCTTCCTCTGGAGTCGCAACCAATTTGCAATAGTTACAGAAAGTTGGAACGACAGGTTCTAAGAGGGTCCCTGTATTAAGATGAGGACAGCAACATTTTCTGTGTGATGGCAATGATTTGCTGGATACAGATTTTGCTGCCCTGGGAACAG